ATCAACTGGTATAAGAGCTAAGACATACAGGTGCTGAATTATATCATTATATTTTTTTTTATTGTTATTCAAAATCCTTATGAGGCATAACTTTTGTACCATCCTGTACAAGTAAGCATAATTTTTGGCTCGTAGTGTTACCATTAATACAATGTTTTCCTCTTTCTGATATATCGCATTTACTCAAATATAATGCACAACCAATTTTGAAAGGTTAAATTGAAGAACATTTGTTTTTTTTACACATCAGTTGAATACAGCAAACAACTATCAACATATTAAAACATTTTTTGGAAATCTGTCACCGACATTTTTTTTACGTTTCAATTTTATAAAATTTATTGAAAAGTGTATATGTGGTAATCACTAAGCTAATCATTCATCTTCACATAAATCTTCATCATCACTAGAATTGTTACTACCATCGCACTGGCTTTCTTGAATCTTTACTTCATCCTCTTCCGATTCCCACAGCATGTCATCATCTGTCCCATCCATTACATTGAATATGTAACGTTTTTTGAAACCCTTAATTAATGATGCTTTAATGAATTTTGCTGGTAGCTTCTAGTAAGATACCCAACAAAATTGAAAATGCAGAAATATAATGTGGAATAAATTTTTAGGGAGGTAACTGGAGGAAAAAAAAAGTGTCCACTATATTCAAGCAAATATAAGAAATCCAGAAACTTCTTTTTCAGTGCCTTTTCTTTTCTACCTCTTTTGTCTTGCTTTAAACAACCTCTTGTTAAAAAAAGAAATTTGCCATAACTTCACATGTCTGTGCATTAAATTCCAGTTCAAATAAATACTTTAGGATTGTTGAATAATCTCATTGGCCACTCTAATTACAACTCACAATCTTCCAGTTAGCACTGTTAACTAAACAGGATTGCACAAGTCTTTAGCAGCCATTCTTTAATTAGAATTCATACTGTTCAAGGTAGCATTTACAAAGATGAGGACTTTCAAGGTATAACTTAAGAACCATGACCTTTATGGATTTCTGGGGTCAAAATGGCATTGTTTTCATGTAAAAACTTACTTGTTTTCTTGCCCTTCACATTCATCTGAATGTCGTAGAAAGGCTCCTCTCTACTAGATGTATAGTCTACGTGCTTACACCTGATGAAAGACTGAAAAAACAAAAAGTAATAATCAAATAGTTGGCAAAATTAAGTGGTAATCATGCCTTCTATATATGTACAATATGTAATGGTTTCAACTGACTTGACTTATACTTCTGCTGACATATGGGAGAAATTCATCTTGTGAAGTTTTATTGCTATTAACAATTACTATAATGGTGAATACATCCTAAATAATACTATTATAAACAACTGATTTTAAGGTCCAACATTCAAACATTACTTTAACCACAAATCTGAAACACAGAAATATATATATATATTCTATACTTTTATATAGTTTGGAAAATCATGAAAAATCTTCCTAAAATGCAGTAACTTTCTAACTGAATAACAAGCTCAGAGATTCCCTGAAAGTGCATGCATTTCTAACATGTTTACGTATCACTCAATCAAGCTAGATTTATTGTAAATGTTTTTTAATTCTGTAAAAAACAATTATAACACAATTAGATATATTTCTACTGAAAGATGTAAACTCACAATCATTTTTCCTTCAAACAACCGGGGAATGGTTCCTTCAACACAAGTTCCCTTCATCTTACTTTCCATGTTATCCAGGAGCTAAACAGCACAAAACGTAGCATTTAACAAACAGCACTTAACAAAACAAAAAGTTAATATTACATCAACATGAGCTAGATACACAAAAATAACATGTACTACACTGACCCAACCAACCTCAGTTAAAACAATCTATAAATAGCTATGTACTATACTCTTGAAATCACTGTGGATGACTGGAAGTCCTTAACAGTTAACAGACTGCCTGTCAAAATTCTGTGAAGAAGGAAGTACAAATCTTTTGAAAACAAATGCTGCCTATAAGAGGTGGAGAAAAGAACCAAACTGTTGTCACAAGGAGGTACATAAGCCCCACATGGAAGAGAGGCTGCATATCCAGGTTGAAGCCCTTCATTCACAAGAAATTCCAGTTAATTCCAAGATAAATCAGCTGGCTGCTGTCTTAAAAAACAAAGAATGACCAACAGGAGTACCACTATAACCAATATCAGTTGGTAACACTAACTACATCAGTATACTAAACTAACCTACACACTTTACTGAAGATTTCAAATCTTGATTAATTTTATCAAAGATTGCTGCATTACAACTTCTTTTACACATAAAATGTTTTAAAGTTGTTTAAAGACTTAATACATCACAAAGACTATTAAATGACAACAATACAATATTAAACTTGGCTTTCTTTAACATAATGAATTTTATAATAAAAATGTGATTTAATGTCAACAAATAATGTTAGAAAACAATTCAATATTATAGTTTATTAATAAGCTAAAACAAACTTTAACACACTGAACATTACAATAAAACATTCTGATTTCTTTGGTACTTATGTTGAAATGTAATGAATACTACTGATTTACATAATATAATATTCCATCTAATATTATAATACCAACCACTTTCACCAGATTTAACATATTACTATAGCATCCTAAAATGTGATTTTTTATCATGATGCATATCAGAGTTTAATATACATTCCTTAAGTCTCAATACAGGATATTAAATTTCAGTTCTACTGAGTACATTATATCAAAATGATTTTGACCATGCAAATCAAGAATTCTCATGACAATCACAAATGATATAAAGTTACAGTACAAGAACAAGTATCAGAATTACATTTTGGCGATGACATTTCATAGGTAATGTAATGGCAAAAAATGTCTTTTGCAAAAGGTATGTAACAGGCCTTTCTAATGCATAATATCTATACATTCAGCTAATAAAGAGATTTAGAATTTCTAAGATGGAAGTTCCTTTATACATAATGGCACTGGAAAACAAAAGGAATATCAATTAATTGGGTACCATGAACATCCAGAAAGATACCTGTAAAAATTCATACCGAAACTGTGGTAAGCAAAGTGTGGCATCTTGCAAGAAATTAGAATCTATGAACACAAAAATCAGTGACAAAAGCTGTCTACACACCCTTAGCAAAAGTATGCAACACAACCAAGGATTTCCATCACAAAATGAGACCAACATGGTATGGGTTCACAAAGATAAGGCTTCCAATCATACCTCCTCTTCCACCATCACATACCTCAAGAAGCTGGGCAATAATACTGGTAATCAAGCTATTCCATATAAAGACGTACTGGTCAAATCACCTGATGTAATGAGGTCAGTCTATTGAAATAAGTGTTGGAAAACCACCATCTTACACTAGATGGATTACAAAAAGTAAAATGGGAGAGAAGAAACTATATACTTTGGACATTACAGCCTTACAATGAAGCCTTCTGCAATGGAAACTATTCTGCAAAGATATTATCAAGATGGCCAGCTGTCAGATAGAACACAAACACATGTGGAAAAATGGATTGTAATGATATAGCAAGATGCCAAAATCATTTTAATATAATCTCTACATAACACTCGTCTTTCTGTACTCACCACTCGACATAATTCTTGGACATCATGCTGCATGAAAGAATCTAGTGTTTCCCACCTGTAACAAAATTATAACATTTCATAACAGGAAGAACAAAAGTTTATACATTTTATCACGGCTTTGAAACCTTGTAGTTTTGCCAAATACTGCCACATTACAGTTTCCTTAAACATATATCTTCTTCTTTAACCCCCTTCTGGACCAGATGGGTGTCAGTAATAGCCCCCCCCCCCAATCCAAACTTATTAAGTAGGCTCTAGTTACTGCTTTAAAAATCATGTAATTTGATATAGTATTCCTAACATATTTAGTTGTAAAAATTTCAAAAAGTTTGGTGTGAAAAAACAATAAAAACACTTCTCTCCATCTTAAAATTTTAATGCTCCTTTACTGTTGATCATAAAGTTCCATTTTATATATCTAGTCATTTTCAACTTGATTAGTATTCATTAACCTATTTCTTTTGACACTTTATTGTGCCACAATAAGAAATATAAATCATAAATAGCATGACAAAAACTGATATACATTTATCAATGACTCGGTTAGGTATTGTGATTTTTGTTTAAAATATTCTTGGTTAAGATCAAGTTATATCTCACAAATACAATTTCTTTTCAGTAAATAATAAGTTATTTATGTCCACTGTTTAAGTACAATCAACTTAACAATAATATTCAATAAATATAAATATGAGCAGGACTGTGTTTGAAGGTTCATCGCTAACCAAGAATTTGAAGATAGTTCTAAGTACTTGCAGGTGGTGACATTCAAGCAGTATAACATTAACTGTTTCTAGCAAAAGCTGTTTGACATTGTTTGAATAGCAATCACACAATAAATGTCACTTGTGGAAAATTTGACATGGTGATTTGTGTATTGCCCATTCCTTAAACAAATGTTGTTGTATTAAAGAAAACATTATATGTAGCAGCTTCTTACTTGTATTGAACAGAAAATTATAGTGAGGCACAGGATGATACATTTAGAGGCTCCATATAAGATGTAAGTGTAGTGTTATGATAGAATAACAAAATATACACTAACACTAATAACTTTAATGTTGAGTGAGGAGCACCAATGTAACTCTACACTCCCCAAGGTATACATTTAGTTAATCAACAATTATTAATGAGGGTTCATTGCATATTTCAATATGGGTGTAAAAATGAAAAACAACTTGATATACGAGTTGTTTACAGGCAAGACTCTTTGCAGCTGAAGTTGTATAATTTTTTTCTTTTCAAATTACTCTAAACAAATGTTAAGTAATGACAAAATATCAATACTAAAATATATTTGAATAAAAAATTCTTTAACACAAAACCCTATAACCTGAACATTATTAAAAGGTGGACCAGATATTTTTTCATCAGGGGCAAACTGTCTGCCTTTGATGAACATAGGTCCACTTTTTGAAAATGCTCGTGTTACAGAATTTTGTTTTTTGCCTTAAATTGATTCTTGGAATGTAGTGTTTTCTTAACATCATGAACTTGTTTATCAAGCAATCTCTGACTTGGTTGCTAAACCACTCTCAACCAAATAAATCAGATTTTGTTCTATTTCCTGTAAATTTGCCAGAATACAGCTTACTTTATGATGAATTGAATGGTGTAGGGCAATCCTGATACAGACAGGATTACTTATGAAGATAAAGTGACTTCTGTAGGATTAGTGGGGGTGATATTTCACTGAAAATTGTCTTCTGGCTATGCAATTTCACTGAAATCACTCTACTTTTCTTGAAAAATACTTAAACCAATTGTTCAAAACTCCATACAAATGTCTGAAGCCTCACTTGCTGACTGGCAAGTTCAAGGCCACAAAATGTTTGAAATCTTACCAGTGCAGCAAGTGTGGATGTGATTGATCAAGGTAGAATACTTGAGAACGTTGGAAAGATATGCTCATCTTTTAAGAGTTTGTTACCCCCAAAGCTTAAAGAAAGTCTGATGCAAATGAAAATAAAGAGACTCCTTCCGAAAGTCAAATGAAGTAAACGAGCAAGAAAAAAGCAATAACAGCAAAACACTTCCCCTAGCCATGCAGTGGGGTCAAAGTAATCGATTCATGGTACCAACAGGAGCACTATCTACTAAGACATACAAAAATCAAATAGTATAATGATAATAAACAACATGTACACATTCCAGGTTTTTCAAGGATGGCAAAACACCAATAAAAGTAGCTTGCTTGAGAAAAAATCAACAGTTGAAGAACATGACTGTTGAATATGATATCCTAGCAGAAGACGAAATAAACTAAACAGTAATGCAACAAAGAGTCATCAATGGAAGACAGATAGTAAAAGAATGATGATGAGGGAGAAATAACTGGCATAAAGGATTGAAATGATAGCAGGTAGCAGAAGAAAAGATGGAGCTAGCCAAATAGAAAATCACTATTGGGGGTTATTAAGTTTACTGTTTCTGGTCGCATGACTGATGACTATTATTCAAAAATGCTCTACTTGTATACTATGTAACTCTTCACAGCCTTCAACCTTTGCAACTGCAATGAAATGGTTGGCATATTATACCCTATCAATTCTTGTAATTTACTTATGATTTTCTATATTTGTAGACTTGGTGGGGAACCCACCCCCCTTAGTAAACTACAATGCTGTCAAAATGCCCAATGGACCATGGATTTCCTCCAGTAAAATATGCACCCAGACTCAGCTACATTTTGCAAAGCAACCACTAGATTTATGCAGTTATAAACTGCATCACTAATTAGCATTTAATACAATCCAACTGACACAATTTATAGTCATATTACTGTTATGATTTTTTGTGTCATGTGTATGGAAAATACAGAAAGGAATTACATGAATTAATTTTGAAACAGCCCCCAGTGGCTCAGCAGCAACTTTGAAGACTCATAATGCTAAAAACCCAAGTTTAACACCTGTGATGGGCAGAGCACAGATAGCCCATTGTGTAGCTTTGTGCTTAACTACAAACAAACTAAAAAATTCTAACTGCAGTTCTACTCCAAAGATATAGTTTAACAGTTCTAAATTGCTTAGAATTTAGCTTCAAAAAGAAGACTTAACTGTCCTATCACTTAATAGCATAAACACAATAAACATTTTTGTGTGACTTAATTTTTTACTCCTGATGATGACACGGAAAGACATCGAAACACGCAGAGTTTACGAGACCGTTCCCATCTCACAGTATTTTATCGCTATACAGTAAATTATAAAGTAAAATAATGATTTTATTGTGGACAGTCTTATTTTAAAACATGTACTGTGTATTATTAAATGCTAGCTTTATTTGTTTAATACATCTGTGTCATTGAAAACTTACACAAGTGTTGTCTTAATCTTAACACAAGAACACACTTTTAGTCTCAGTAACAAATAAAACCAGTAAAACATTTTAAATTTAAATTTTAAAAGCTAAATCTTATAATTTTCTTCTTTCACTTAACATTTGTTTATTCTTACCCAAACGACTTGGTTAGTTTTTTTGTTCCTACTGGCTTGTCTGAAAATTGAAGTTCATAGAACACCCTTTGGAGAGCCAAGGCTACACTTTTTGAAGAATCATCACTTTCTGTAGGCATTTGGTAGACAGCCTTTAGAAGATAACAACATTAATATTTATTTTAAACTTTTTACTAAAGGTTTAAATACTGCAAGACTAAACTAGTAATATTTTTTCAGTAGGTTCATCACAATAATGTCCAGGTGGTTAAAACTTACAGGTTGAAATCTGGAATAAAGTCAGTCAATGCAACTTATCTGCGTACCATGGCAATATGAAGGACAGTTTTTTAGGCTTCAATGAAATTAATCAAGCCTACTGATATTCTAGGAGATAACTAAGATATTTTTCAAAAGGAACTAAAACATGAATTAGAGGTTTAATTAAAAATTCTTATAATGTGTCAAAAAAAAAACCTAACTATCTAAACCGTAAGAATAACCAGTAAACTAATCAATGAATTAACTTTCTGTTGACTTTATGGGTAATATATTACTCATTTAAAACAGGAAAAAAAATTATACTTTCCAAGTTGTATGATATGGCACATTATCAAAGAACCAAACAGTGAATTAAAAGTTTATAAGCAGTGTCAGTAACACAGTTAACTTAATTCTCTTGCAATGAGCTCGGTCAGTTCGACCTAAATCTTGACCCCAAATTGATCTTTATAGTTTCCATACTATAACTTCAAATATGTTTTGTGTATCTTCATGAAATTTTGCAAGCTTTCAGTAATCAGACAAAAAATCAAAATCTTTTGTAAAGTATTTTTTAGTAAAACTTTCTCCACAAATATAGAAGTCGAACTGTTGATTACTTCAAGTACAAAGTGATCTTCATGTTAAGTATAAAATTACTTTTTTACATCTAAAAACTCTCAAATTTCATTTGCATAATCTTTCTGAAACTTCCTAAATAAATTTCAAACGTTTTTTTTCCTCAGTAAAACTTTATATTATTTTCCCTACCCTAACTATACGAGGTTGGTTGATTTCACTAACCTTGTAACCACCATAAAAAAAATAGGATATAAATCTAAATTACCATGATAAGAAAGTTGTTTAAATAAATTTAGAATTTAACTCAGTAAAACCTTTTTACATGAACAGAAAAGGATGCCTCTAGCAAGAGAGTTAACCAATGAAGTAATCCTCTGTAAGTTGTACAAGTGATACATTACCAATGTCAAACTTGTAGACATATCTAAGTTGTATGGATATAACACATTATCTATCAACCAGTAAAATACTCTTCTGTGAATTTTATAACTGACACCTTAGGTATTTAAATCTAATAGACATTTATTTCTTGAATTATATGTGTGACAAATTACCAACTAACCTAACATCCATTACACTGGAGGTCTAAATATTTTATGGATACAATACATTATGAAATCTAACATTTAGTATAAACCTTCTGTATGTTACATGTTTATGCAAGCTAACAAATATTAAAACTACTGTGCTAAGAAGTACATAAAGGCTAAAAAAAATTGCACACAATAAACTATTAACTTTTTTCACTGAAAATCTAAAAACTGTCTTGGGATTTTAAAACTGGTTCACCAAAGGAACAGGTTTTTCACGTTATCTTGAGTATCTAGAGCAGTCTCACCTTTCTTAGCTGGTTGGTGAAGAACAGCGTTTGTAAGAGTGAATTCATATAGCAGGTTGCTCCCTGGTTCTTCAGACCTACATAACCTGTATGTTTCTTAGAATCCCAGCTGTAATAATAAATTAAGATGTCTCTCATATTTATACAAGCTTTTAACCCTTTACTGTCCAGTGGCCAGTATATACCACTTATGACCTTACACTGCTAAAAAAAATAACTCATAAAAGTCACCATATATAAAACACACACACACTTCACATATAACATAACTATGGGACCTTTTAAAATATAAATTTGATTTTTTTTGTCAATTTATGATTTATAATACAATAAAAATCACTACACAACATACTCATTTACTATGCCATTATACATGACCCACATAAATTGTTGACCTGAAAACCAGTTTCTGTACATATACTATAGCAAATCTAACAATTCATGCATTAGGTCACCTTGTTGAAAGAAATCTAACAATAACAAATCATCTAAAGCACTGAAACTAATATAAAGATATATATATATATCTATATATATATATAAAACAAAGCTTATCCGTGTCCTCTTTTACTAACTTACGTAGTTGTTCAAAACAGACCTCAAAAGATTTTATTTACTTTTGCCCGAGGATGAAAATAGGATACTTACATTCACAATGGGCTTGAGTTATAAAACTTGTGTTCTTAAATAATGCCAAGAAAATTACATCAATAAAATCAACAAACATGAAGGAAAAGTCATTAAGTTATTTTCTTCAGTGGCACACAAACAACAGAAAACCATTACTCTTCACATGTAGTAAGAAATTTTACAATTGGTATAACTACACAAAGAAAGTAACTCTACAGAAATAGGCTGCAAGAAAGAAAACAATACAAGGTTTCAGACGATACATTTACAATTCTTTCAGCTTCAGTCATAAAATAACATGTGTATAGTTGAATTTTAGAGTTTCTGACATCACCGATCCCAACAATTTATGGCTTTTAAAATATTTGAGCAAAACTAAACCTCAAACAAATGTAAAGTTCCCAGATTTGTGGCTTACTATCATCCACTGAAGGTTGTATCTGTGCAGGCATTATATTTAATTATTTTCACCATCTCAATAACTATAATTACAACAGGGAGCAAAAAATTAAAAATTATTGTTATCAATTTTTGTTTTTTTAATTAATTATCCAAACAAAAATTAATAGAACTTATATCAAAAGAAAATTTTAAGTTTTAACATTTCAGTTATAATTCATTTTGGAGGTAATTTGAGGGGGGTAGATAGATCATACAATTTTTCAAAACTTGATGTTGTCATTTTGCCCCTTAATAACTCAATACACAAAGTTGGAAAGGGTTAAAGTTTAAATGACAGATTCTTCAGACATTGGTACAAAGTTGATGATTTTGTGAAATCCTAGCTCCAAAAGTTAAAAAAAAATTGTTAATGCAGACAAAAGTTTGAAACAGCATTTGTAGGATAACAGTTTTATTTCTTAAGTGAGTTTCATCCCTAACAGTGAAACATGATCACATTCACGGTGTCAGAAAAACACACATGTACAAGAAGATAAAAACCCTATAACCCGAGCGCTTTCAAGAGGTGGACCTTTCTTCTTCGGGGGCAAACTGGAATGGTAGTGTAATTGAATGAGTGATATATAAAGGAGGTTGAGTGACATCATGAAGGCCATCCAGTTTTCCGGGAAATGTTTAGTATATGTACTGTTGTTGCAAGTGTTTCACTTCTGGTACAATATAGCCGGCAACAAGAGCATTATGTAAAAAAGGTGTTAGGGATATTTTGCTTTAGAATTGGCTATATATATATATATAAAAAACTGTACTTAAGTGTTTAAGTAAAATAAAGTTGACACCTGGAGACTGATTGAAAAATTATCTTAAATAAATAGCAAGTTTTAGGAAAGTTAGGATCCACACTACATGAAAGAAATATAAGTTATTTTTCTGACAGAAATGAAACCAATGATAGGAGATCACTGATTCCAGGATCTAGATTAATTCCCCAAGGTTGAACAGTGTTTAGATTAGCAATCCAATAAGCTTCTTTTATTTCTCTATCAGATTTAGTTTTGAATCCTGTTTCAATACCGATGAGGGTAACATCATTACACAAAATACCAAATGCAATCATCAATGTGTAGGACATACAAAAACTACTCTTAGAGAACGTTTCAACAACCACAAATCTTGTATTAACACTGAAAAAGATCTCCCTGTTGCTCAACACTTTATACAATGCAGTTATTCCAGTAATGATGTTACCCTCATTGGTATTGAAACAGGATTCAAAACTAAATCTGATAGAGAAATAAAATAATCTTATTGGATTGCTAATCTAAACACTGTTCAACCTTGTGGAGTTAAATTAGATCCTGGAATCAGTGATCTCCAATTGTTGGTTTCATTTATGTCAGAAAAATAATTTATATTCTTTGCTTATTTTTTTCACGTAGTGTGAACCCTAACTTTCCTAAAACTTACTATTTATTTAAGATAATTTTTCATATCTGATTGTATAAATTGATTAGCTGTACATCTCTCTACATAGCCAATTCTAAAGTAAAATATTCCTAACACCTTTTTACATAAAGCTCTCGTCGCCAGCTACATTGTACCAGAAGTGAAACACTTGCAACAGTACATATACTAAACATTTCCTGGAAAACTGGATGGTCTTCATGATGTCACTCAACTCCCTTTATATATCACTCATTTGATTACACCACTATTCCGAGTTTGCCCCTGAAGAAGAAAGGTACACTTTTGAAAGCACTTGGCTTATAGTGTTTTTATGATCTTGTATCAAGACTTCTTGTACCTACATGTTTTCCTGATATTTTATTAATGTTAATTTTTCATTCTTTGTTTCTTAGTGCTTAGATTTTTTCTTTTGTTTGGGTTTTTCTCTATCTTCAATACTTTAATATTTCAAAAGCATATTTTGTGTTGTTTTTCAATCATATGTTCATTTACATTTGACTCTTCATTTTTCATGTTCTTTCCATCTGGTTCATATTTTCCTACATATTCAGAAACTTTAACAGTCTAAACATTCTATTTTAAACACTGTCATTTTACAAAAAAACTTTGAAAAGATAATATGATTACTTCAAGGTTATGCTACACAATAATGTTTTTAACTTATGCTACTCCTACTTTATTTGAAATTATTTAGATAAACTATCAAGTTTCATTTAATATGCAGATTATAAAAAGAGTACACACAAGGTTAAAACAGAATACATGTTGACAGTTATTAACATGTAGCAGTAATTTTGAAAACAATTAGTAATACAACCAAGATTCAACTACCAATTCCTTATGACATGAAAACTAGAAATGACTGGTTGTGAATATGAACGTGATCTTTTTTCCACACTTACGTATATATAAAAAAGTTTAAATTTTGGATATTTCTAACTTAAAATATATTTAAATTCACTGTAAAGTTACCTGTTTATTAAAGAAGCATATATATATATATATATATAAAATGTCTTTGTATTTCTTTACTGAATGATATTACAAGATTGTGTAAACTTTTTAAACTGAAAGTACAGACATGATAAAAAGGCTTTAGTGGTATTACCCACTCATTTGTACATCTGTTCTTTAAGATTTTAATAATACTATAACCTTACCTGACTCCATGGGGAGCATCAGCACAGACCCAGACTTCAAGTATAATGGTGTCATCTTTGATAAACCCCTTTTCTGGATCAAGAACATCCTATTCCAAAAATAAAATAGCAAAAATTTATGCCTTGGTTTGTTTTAAATATGTTATTTTTTAACACTACAATCAATAAAACTGTTACAATTGTTTTTTGTTGATAATAAAAACAAACCTAAAATTAAACTCGTGTGACATGCTAAGAGTGCTATCTTTGATTGATGTAAAACATGAGTAAAAAATTATGCATTAAAAAGTTTAATAAAATGCCCTTTCACTTACATTCCATGCCATAAAATGGCTAAAACCCCAGTCATTTTCTTTGCTGTAAAACAAATGCTGAATTTCTGGAGGAAAAAAAAAGGGGTAAAAGAACAGAAAGAAAGATAAATGCCCCAGGAAATTTTTTTTATCATTTTTAACAGTTACATCATACATCCATATATATATATATATATACACTATGAGCCTTTTCTTAAGTTTTTTGAATATATTGCATGAATATTTATCTATAAGGACTTAATAAAGAAAAATCACATATAATTAAGCCAACAATTATCAAACAAAATGAACTATGGGCAAATTAATTCACTTCATTTCATTTCTACCAAAGTTAAGTCTTAAAAATGTTAGGTTTGCTCTGACTTTCATCTCTATGGACGATAAATAAATATAACTTAAGAATTCATAATCACATAGTTAAATTCTAGCTTGTAGAATAAAGTGCCACATTAATTTTACAAAGGTACACAAAATAAACAAAATTCACGTCTATTTTTAATTAGAGAATAAAATATCCAACAAAACAGAATTGGTTCACATGATAATGTTCTCACTTAATTACAAGTAGTGGATTTTAAAAATCAATGACCAGCTAAAACTTGGCAGTAAATATTCGACAACATTCCTCTATTTATCATGTAATAAATCCTATAATACACCTACATGCTAGGTATATAATACTTTTTCTGGAAAACTAAAACATATAACACTGAAGCTGTGCTACATCTGAATATTATCAACAAATTTTACAGCAGAACATAGCAACTGTGGTGTACTCACATACAGTGAGTCTAGTTTTGATTCATTCACAACACGACTATTATCAACACAGTTTGGTAAAACAGCTGTTGTTGTAATATTACAACTTTATCAAGAAATTTCACAGAATAAAAATTGCATTTAGTATTTGACAAATGAATTGAACATTTAAAACTATGATGACTAAACAAAGGTGAAATGGCTAGCAACTGTCTTGTACAGCATGACACAAGTGGAAAAGGGCTCAGAGGGCTAATATACAAAAGTATCACAGACATAAAAAAGTGATGTTTTGAAAAACTTCCATCTTTCCCCGGCAGGTCATCTAGCACTGTATTGCAGGGATTTATATGTTATATGGAAGAACTGAGGTAGATATTGGTTAGTGGTCCTTGTACTGTGGTATGTGGACCAAGAGATGATTTGACCAACTGGAAAAGAAACAACAAATTCTTCAACATCAACACAACTGAAACCTTGTTAAATAAACGCAGGCCTGGAAATCAGCAGTCATTTCTTGCTTCATCAACTACACTACAAAGACCACCAACCAATCATGCCACATCCACATCAATCCTCCCAGATAGGATATAAACTCTTCAAAACCAGTGCAAGCTGAACTGAAGTCTTTTGAAAAGTTATTTTCAATCTGTGCTACCTTTGTATATTAGTCTTCCAAGACTTTCTCCACTAGTGCCATGCTGTACTAGGCAGTTGTTTGTTCATGATCAAGACTCTGCCTAAATCATCTAAAAACGAATTTAAAGCTATACTTCTTTAATTTGAATTTCTTGAGGTGTACAGTCCATATATTGCCTTTCCAAGATAAGTTTTATACTGATAGGTGTATGTCAATTCTAAAATTTACATGGACTTGGCATGTACAAAACACACTGTAAGGATAAACATAAATGTTTCAATTTGAACAAGTTTCATTACATTCACATTTTATCATATTTTTCAAAAAATAAGTCTATCAAAAGCCAAACTTTGCACTCTATCAGTAAAATGTAGCTAAGAATGGTGGTATTGTCTTACAGTCCTATGATAATCTAGTTCTGTAAACTAATTAATGCTACTACTTACTTCTAGTAAAATGTTCCACACCATCCTTTTGGCTGATAAGCCGAAGCTCTGCTGATGCATTACACGACCAGGTTCTAACATAAAAACACAAACACAATTCTACTAAAGCCGAAAATTGTCTTACGTTACTCTATTAATAAAACATAAAACTATGTAACTCTGTTTTACCTAGTATTCTGATCAAGTGATATAAAGGAAGTGTTTTTTCACTAGTTGAGGCAAATAATATGTAAGTACAATGTGTAAATTACTCATGATATACAGTGAATGTACAGAGAGAGAAAAAATAAATATACATATTAAAACAGATGTTAAAAAATGATTGAGATTATGACCAATTAGCTAACTTACAACATTGAAATAATAAACCCTATTGACATTCACAGCTATTTTCGTAAATTAATAACTTTCAAAAACAAAGCTGAAATAAATACTGGAATTACCTGAAAACTAATGAAAACATTTAATAGCATCAATTAGTAAAGTGAAATCATGGTTTTTTGATAAATTTTTCAACAATGCTAAATGTATATTTTTAACATTTCATTTTTTATACTTACACAAAACTAAATACATTGTTAAGAATTATTGCAATTTCTGATGTAAAAAAACAATAAAAGAGTAACTTACGATGATTCAGATTCACCATTACACTGGAGAAAGAAACCAACACTTTTTGTTGGTTGTCTGTCTTGACCTTGGTTAGTACGAGGCATTACCATAATCTTCCTGGGAAATTGAAAGGAAACTCCTGTATCCTTTATACCCTCATAAACACATGTATATTTAAAGTTATAAGCAAGCAAGTCTGGAATATAAACTTTTTTCAAATAATTCTACAAAAATTGTTTTTACCTAGATATAGCTTGTTGTGCCAATTAAAATATATATTTGTAAACTATGTGACTGGTGCTGTACTGATAGCCATCAAGTTAATCCAATAGCATTGAAACTGCAGGATTTAAAAGATTTGTTAGCAATGAGCTAAAAGTAAAAATCTATTTTTGAAATACTTTTTAGGATAGCATAATACATTACTAGTCACAATACTTGCATCTAAAGCATAGACATATTCACAATAAATTTTATCATTACTAATACTTGATATTTGATCATAATACATCCACTAATAGCATGGCAAATTCAGATGAGCTGGACGAATAGTGGAATTTTTTAACTGATTAATCTTCGGGCTCACTAACTCCTCCTGTAGGAAGAAGGTCAATGTGACCCACCTTGGAAGTGTGAAACCAAACGTACTATAATTAATTGAATCTTCACAAAATCTGTCAAACATCATAAATCTGTTGTATACAAAAAATGTATTTTATTTGAAATAAAGTATTTTTGCTAAAGATTTGTTGGTGAATCTACAAAGACTTTAATGAGTCAGTCTAAGTGAAAGGTTTTTTTTCATGCTAAAGATAAAAACACCGCTTTTCACCTTATGGTTTTTCATATTTCATTTAAACAGCCTATAGAACCTCCTAAATGAAGAATAAATGTTTTCAATAAAACTTTATCTTATATTTTCTTAACCATAACACTAGCTGTAGTAAAATCATCAATGTACGGTGGTTTGAAAACTTAAAAACAAAATAAAATAAATAATATCATTTCAAAGCATGAAGATAAAGTGAGTAGAACAATATAGTGTTGTCTTTGTTGGGCATAAAAATTCAAGGCACTAAGATAGTTCTAAGGTGATACAAAATATAAAAATTCCAACCCAAAAATATGAGGGCAATTTCATACTCATTCATTAAATAAATAAATAAATTAAAAAAAAAAAGAACTTATTAAAATGAAGAAATTTTAATAAGAATTTTAACAAAAGTATATATCAAAATCAAATTTTTCAGCATTAGAGATTACCTTTCCTTTGTAACAATATTATTTTTTACTACAGAAATATACAATGACTAATATACAAATTTAAAAATGGCACCTGTCCTATTTTTTATTAACCAATGTGTGTACAGTAAAATGTATGGCAATGATAATGAGTCATTTTCTCATGGAAGAGATCACACTAGTGTTTAAAAAATTGTATTTTTTTCAACACATGGTTTCTAAAATTCTACATTTTGAACTGTAATGTCTACTTTTTTATATATACTGTACCAAAATGGTCAAGTTCCAATGCAGTGTTATTTCAGATTAAAACTAAGTTACCATGCAAACAGTAATGCATTACCCAACATGCTTAATGCCAAAGACCATGAAAATGTGTGGTGGTATATGGGATACCAGATATCTCAAAGCTACAAGTTAAGCTTGTGCATTTAGATACAATGAAAGAGTTATCCACTTATCACTTACCTTCTTGTAGGCTTTGATGTATAGTTCTTATAAAAAAAAAGCACACAAATTGTTTTCACTCCACCAAGCAAAACTGATAGCCTTGCATTCGGCAAAACTAGTCTACTGCAGAGGGTGTAGTGAACCAAAGAATAAATTTGGTCTATTTCATTGACAAATAAGTTATTAGTCACTTGTTGCAACAATACTGTTTACACTTTTCCATATTTTCTTCCTGACAACTGAGTATTGTTTTGCATGTTCATAAGCATGTTAACAACTATGTAGGAGACTTAAGTGTTGTGTATACAACTGCACAGGTACTTTGACTCTTTGAAGCCAAGAAAAAATACATAGCTCAATTTTATTTATATTCTTCAAGTAGCCTAAATTTAAAGCCAAGCATTAAAAATTAGAATAATGTCAACTTAATTTTTGTATTTTGGCACTTGTGTATAAAGTTAAAATCATAAATAATATTCAACATTAAAATTGTTACACAATTAAAAACATTTTATTTAGGCCTATCTATGGTCTTCAAAATTTGACGACTCTACATGTTCCCGAGGATGATGTTGCAATGTCAAAACATGTAGAATTGTCAACTTTTTGAAAGCCATAGATAGGCCTAAATAAAATGTTTTTAATTGAGTACCAATTTTAATGTTCAATATTATTTATGATTTTAATGTCAACTTAGTTTGTACAATAAAAAATTTGGTAAACATAACTATCTTACAAAATTTGAAAATCATTAAAGAATGAATAAAAATAAAACAAGAAAGTCTATTCAGGTAATATAGTATTATGTTGATCGTATCATAATGAGATGCATCAACTTTTTAAAAGTTACCTATGTATTACCACAACCAAATTTTCAGTATTTTTCACTTGAAAGACGAGAGATTACACGTCTTTCACATACATAAAAAAATCACATTTTTAGTGAAGTACTTTTAACTCTTTCAGCATGGACTCGGTCCCTAGGACCGACCTCGTAACCATTTTGTGCTTGTTATAGTTTTTATGCTATAACTTTTAAATTAGTAAGCGGAGGTTAATGAAATTTGACAGATTATCAGTAAACATTACAATACTTTCACATACACAAAATGTCAAATTGTTTCATACAGCCTTAAGGTTTATAAAGAAATGTTTTTCTCATGTCTTTTTTTCTTTTCCATGTCGCCTATCTATCGTACAAAGATTAAAAATACTTTTATGCATCAGAAAATTTTGAAATTTCACATGTGATATCTTTATAATGTCCAGATAGTTATCAAACATTTCTTTAAAAAAACTTTATATTTTATCTGTTATTTTTGGTAGCTTAAATCTCCTAACATTATACATTTATATATATTTATTACTTTTATTATATTGATCTTTCAGCTGTGCCTGGCTAGCAGTATAGAAGTTACAATGACGAGGCTCACATGCACTCCCGTTACCGTATCAAATAACATAAAACTGATCTTTGGTCTGTTCAAAGTAACTTGTCACGGCT